CATTTATGTATACATTTGTCTATATCTATCTCGATTCGTTTTGGCTGTTACAAACAACCGTTATGTGAACAAAATTAATATACCCTTGTGCACAAGTGCGCTCGGGTATAAAAAGGAATTTTTCACCATCGAATAAACAGTGAGTTAGGTATTTGCAAATTAGTTTTATTGGCAAATAGCTTACGTATAAACGTAGTAACAAACCAAGAGACTTCTACATACATTCATATGTAATGTGCGTTGGGTAACCGCTTAAAGCGCTCTTACACATACGTATGTATATAAATAATAAAACAAAAGACACACTAAAACGGTATGAGGGATAAAACAAAACCGTATTAAAAACAATCAACCGATTAGCGAAAATCCCGACAATTCTTATTAGATGTGATAAGAGAATCACCACAGTGTTTTAAAAGGGAAAACAACTGGTGATTTAGTGCATTTTGGACGAGGATAGAGGATTCATAGAAAACAACGATATTTAACAAGTGTTTTGTTTATAACTTTTAAATGGTTAATATTAGCCCTCCCCCTCCGGATTGTTAATAGGGGGATCGAAGCGCGTTGTTTGGTACCACTCCCGACTTTTCCGGACCTTTTTAAGCGGTTGTTACCCTATACTAGAGAATTACCCCAAGTTCCTGTAAATAGTAGTACATAATACTCATATCTGTACTAAGAAAATTTGAGTAATTTGTTCGGATTTTGGGGATTTTTCATTTGTTTTTGAGGTATTTGGCAATTTTTTTGTGGCAGCACTGGAATGAGTACATATGAATGGACATATATATGCACATATCGATATGTTCGTAAAATGAAATGGTGGATCAACGAAGCTAATCGAAAACGAGTAGAAATAAACATTGAATATAGAAACAAAAGCGTAGAAACACAACGAACGCAACGACACGTAATGGTCGCGCGATGAGGCACATACATAACTACATATGTATGAACATATGTATGCAAGTAGATATGTAATAATAAAGTAAAGAAATAAAATTTCAAAGGACAACGCCAAGGAAACGAAGTATTTGAAATCTATTTATTTCACTTACTTTACTTACGTATGCCCCTAATATATGTATGTACGTGCACGACTAATTCAAAAGTAGGTATTCGCACCTGAAGGGCTAATAAGAACACGTGCCATTGGCCAAAAGTGGTAGGACCATCAGTTTTAAGGCAATAAATATGTTATAACGGTACTTATGACCGCCATCACGGTATCAACCAAAAATTTTACAATTTGAGTAAACCAAACGAGTTATGCCACATTTGTTCACTAAATAACCATAGCCACACCAAAACAACCATCACAATTCTTGCCATCATTAAAATTGGAACGAGATCTAGAACAATCACCATAGCACTTCATTATCTTCGTTCCTATTCGACTTATTTTCTATTCACTACATAATTGATTTTTCTTGTTGGACTCTTTGCAATCACAGCCACTTTTTCGTTTTTACTTACAGTTTATTATTCATGTTAGATGGCATTTTTACACTTAATGGTTGCAACTTATATTCACTTGAAATAATAATAAAATAAAGTTTGATAACTTCGCTAGCTTTGTTTTAAAAACTGGTTTTGTGAAAAACGCACAAAAGACTTTCAGGCTTTTAACCTTTTCTTTGCAAATGTCAAAAAAGACTATCGAATTGAGCAAGGCGAATTTCCGTTTTTATGCATTCGATTCAGTGATGCCAGACATACTCTGATAAATTACCTATCAAAATCGGGGAAAAAGCAGTAATTTACCCACATCTTGAATAAAAAATACCATCAAAATTTCTAAAAAATTCGAAACAGATTTCAGCAGTAAAAAGGTAACATTTATCGCTAACTTAATATAATAACAAATTAGTTTCACTGTTTGTTAAAGCCTAGGATTTTGAAGAAATTCCGTGCTTTAGAATTTTAGTTTTTATAAAGTTTAGTAACTACTCTGTTAAGGCATATACATTTTAGATATGATCTTTCTATATTAAGGTAACGTTATTTATTTACATATCGTCGTTTAAAGCACAAAACCGCGTATCAACAAAATGGAAAAACATGTCTAAACGTGTTTTTTAATGTTGAATACTTACTATCTATTCTTAAAAGTTTCACTGTTACAAATTATTTGCATTGTATAAGCGAATATGATTTTTATAGACTTGAATGTTGAACCGCTTGACTTTTTTTACATTCTTGGTTGAATTCTGATCAATTATGCGTCGATAATTGTGTGACATGAAAATCTCTGTTTTATTTAAAATATACAGTTTTCCTTCTTACAGGCTAACCTAATATTCACGCACGCCGCCAATGTCAAAAATTTCGCATGCACATACAACTTGTACGAAAGTGAACGGCGTGCGTATGAACTTAACTAAATTTCCAATTTTCGTTCTGTTTGACATTTTGATTTGACGTTTCGCTCAATGAAATCAAATGCAAACGCACGCAAGCCAATTTCGGGTAACGCAAAAAACAAATTCGATGGAGTGCGTACCAAAACGCAAGCCGCGAATATTAGGTTAGCCCGTTAGCAATTTTTTTGCAAAATATCCCTCTAATATAGAAATTAACGATCTGGCATCACAAATTCGACTATGTACAAAAAAGGGTGACCAAGTTACATAAAGAAAGACTGTCTAAGGTGAAATGTCAAAAGGTGACCAAATGTAATAGTATGGGAAATTTGCAATAAGGTATGCAGTATACTTTTAGGCGTTTGCAGTGTATTTGATATTTCTTTAAATCTAGAATTTTAACTTATTTTACTTCAATAGCAATCATTCTAACTCGGGTTCTTAGCAAAGCAAATATTTTATGTAAATTTTCGTGGGCTAGCCGTTCTTAAGTACAATCAAATTGGTGCTACACTGCCGCAGTGAATTTGCAGAATTTTTACATTTCCTGCATAAAGTTTGGAATTTGCTAGGCTTTTATAAAAAATTCAAACATTAAATAAACAAAAAAAAATTAAAAATCATCATATATTGGTGTGCCTAATACTTTTGGCCAAGGCTGTATATTGATGGTAACGTATCTATTCCACAATCAAAGGGAGACAACCTCCGAGCCAGCAGAGAAGCGTAAATTTTGCGGGAGTTGCGGTCTCACACAATTTTCCGTATCCGGAAACGACTACAATTTTCGTTTATTTATGTATCCGTAAAACGTTTGAAAATCATGGTAAAGGCGAATTTATATAAGGGGGTGCTATTAGATCAGCTGATTTTGTGTATGTGCTTCGCCGCACGTCTTCTACACTGGCGATCAAAACTGAGTGCATATACGACATTTTATTATTTACAGTAACATAACTTTTATAATAATAAGCGGATTAGCTTGAAACTTTCAACAATTGGTCCTTATCTTATCTAAGGAATAAAGCCTAGTATATAGAAAAGCTAAACTTAAAAAAGAAACAAGCGATTCACAGCAAAACCGCAAGACAACTCTATTCACTCAGTTTTGAACTTTTCTGTTTTCGAGATTTCGGGAGGTTGATATCAAGACGATTTTGGAGACTCCCTTGTTTTTAATAGCGATTTTCATATGTCTTTCTATGATTTCGCTTGGAATATTACCCCATTATAATTTTACTCGCCTCCAAAGCCCTTTCATGTTACTCGGAGCTCGCTAATACTCTCTTGACCACAGCGCTTAATTTTTCGATGGCGTTAAGGTCTGGGATTTATGTCGGTCACTGCATTACGTGAAAATTTTACTCAGGCAGCTGACGGTGTCATACGGCTGTGTAAAATGACGTTGAGCAATACCACCAGCTCCGTCAGAATTGGAAAAAGACCTCTCCGAGCCGTTCGCCACAAAACGGGGTTTCAGACAGGGCGACTCCCTTTCATGTGACTTCTTAATCTGATGTTGGAGATAATAAGAGCTGCAGAACTGAACCGCTCAGGAACAATTTACTACAAGAGCGTGCAATTGCTGGCTTATGCCGATGACATCGACATCATCGGTAACAAAAACCGCGAAGTCTGTTCTGCCTTTTCCAAGTTGGATAGGGAAGCAAAGCGCATGGGTCTGGTGGTAAACGAGGACAAGACGAAGTATCTCCTGTCATCAAACAAACAGTCAGCACATTCGCGCCTTGGCACCCACGTCACTGTTGACAGTTACAATTTCGAGAAAGTAGAGAATTTCGTTTACTTGGGAACCAGCATTAACACCGATAATAATGTCAGCATTGAAATCCAACGTAGAATCACTCTTGCCAACAAGTGCTACTTTGGACTGAGTAGGCAATTCAGGAGTAAAGTCCTCTCTCGACGTACGAAAACCACGCTCTATAAGTCACTCATCATGCCCGTGCTGGTATATGGCGCAGAAGCATGGACAATGACAACATCCGATGAGGCGGCTCTTGGGGTGTTTGAGAGAAAGATTTTGCGGAAGATTTACGGTCCTTTACGCGTTGGCGACGGCGAGTCCCGCAGACGAGGCCCCCACTGCGATGGAAAGATCAGGTGGAGAAGGACTTGGCTTCACTTGGCGTTTCCAATTGGCGTCAGTTGCCACATAGGAGAAACGACTGGCGTGCTTTGCTGAACTTGGCCAAAATCGCTTAGGCGGTTACAGCGCCAAAAAAGAAGAAGAGCTGACGGTGTCGAATATTTTCAGAATCCATTGGATCCCCGTTCTGCTGGCAAACAACAGGGTATGCGTTTTCGTCTGCAAAGTCCGGCAAATTTGTTTGGAGAATGTGGAGATTGATTCCCTTGTTCATTATTCCTTTAATATTAACCAACGGCACCAAATACCAGCAAGTAAAACACACCAAGCCATTAAGCTGACACTAAAATTTTTTAAAAGTCACGAGAGTTGGAGCTTTTTGACTGAAACGGTCTTTATTCTTTATATAATAAGGACCAGTTGCTAAAAATTTTAAAGCAATCCGTTTATTATTAAAAAAGTTATGTTACTGTAAGTAATCAAATGTCGTACATGCACTCGGTGTTGATCGCCAGTGTAAGTCAAATTGAAAAATTTTAAATTGAATTGAAAAATTTTGTTTAAATTTCCACACACACTCTTACTCACAGTTTATGCCGCCAAAGCAAAATCAAAATACATTTAAATTTTTGTTTTTGTTCTGAGGGTCAATTCTCGTTCTGCGTTATTGCGAAGTGATGAAAATAACACTTTTACACCGCATTTATTTCGGTGTTAATTTTATACTTTTCACTTCACTTTACGATAACGCAGAACGGGAATTGACCCTCTGATTGCACAAAGAAACATCGCAAATATGTCCCGACCAAATTTTTTTTTTGGTAACGTGTCAAACTCACATCAACCGCAAGGAAGCACTTTTTCAAATTCGACTGACATACATAATTCTACTGCATCAAACAAAACCATGCATTTATCTTGTTATTATTACTTTTTATTATTTTTTCTTATATTTAAACTAAAAGTATGTAGAATAGATACAAATACGTTTTTAAAATACATAGTTGATTTGAAACGATAAGGAATAATTTTGAGGTGACTTGCACATAGAGATTTTCTTTTTGCTTTGCACAGGTGTTTCATTCGAAAGGAGACTATGAACAAAATCTGTTGTTTCAACGTTTTTGATACCTAAAACAATGTTCCTCAATTACAGTTGAAAACTAAGTACCGAATCTTACTATTATCAACACATCATGATTCCTTTGTAGCGTTTGGTGGTAAGTGAAATGTAATCGCAAACAAATTTTGCACAACTATGCCACACATATGAATATAATTGTTGGATTAACTACGCATGCTTTCAGCTTATAAACAAATAGTTAATAGTATAATGTCGATTAAGTTTTTAAAATTAGTTGCTAAATTAAAATATGCCAAAATGCATTTCATAATTCAAATCAAAAATATTTACCAATATCACAATTGTATTTGAATTCTTTGAGAATTCAATTCAATTAAGTTTTCGTGTACATATTATGTATAATAACAAAGTTAACCTACATACAAGTATTTATTTACATATTGTATTTAGTTATTAATTGTTTGTTACCAATGTCTATATATTCGTGTAAAAGTAGCGTATAAAAACTTTATCGGCTAAAAGTAAGTAGTCGCTTACATACAGGTGTCTATTTTCCAGTGCATGTTTATAAAAAGTGCGTTTCGGCGGCAACAAGTTCACCACAGAATTCCACGCTCTCGTTTGTTCCACATTACTTAAACGATTTCACCACTGGCACCATAATTTAAGCCATTATTACGATGGTGATGATGATGATGGGTATCGATGTGGTCTTGCTCCATTTGTTCCTTCAAAATCTCCAACTCTCGTATGCCCGAAACGGTAACTTCGTATTTGTGAGTAACGAGCGAACGATAGAAGTGTATCGCAAACGCTAGGAAGACTATCATTACCGGAATAAGTACGATGCATGCCGACCAAGCGGCTGGTTGACTTAAATCATAAAATTTCACCCAACAGAGAATGGCTATCTCTAGGAGGAAGAGTATGAGGCCGAGAAGAGTAGAAAATGCCCAGGCGGTTTCAATGTACCAATGTAGACGTTCATGGGGCGACTCGTGCACCAGGGAGATACTATGCAAGTTGCAAACAGTTTCAATGTTTGGCAAAATACAGGTGCTGATCATAAGCGCCAACATGTGAACAGCAACGAGCAACGTGGTACAGATGGCG